CCCCCGGAGCTGTGTGAGACACTTTTTTTTATGGATGGGCTCTTTTTATTTCACTTCTTTTGGACTGATGCATGCAACACCCGCTGAGTGGCATTAAACAGCTTGAAATATCAAAGACAATTTTTAATATAACTCCGACTGGATTCATCTGAAAGAAGAAAGTCATATACACCTAGGATGACTTGAGGGTGAGTAATTTATGGGCTAATTTTCATTTTTGGGTGAACTAACCCTTTAATATTAACTTGTTTGTTGCAGGTTTGTATAAACTCAATATCACGTTTTGCAGTTATGCTCATATTCGCAAAAACAGCTCTCTTGCTCATGATATTGCTTAATTTTATGTTATATTATGAAAAAAAGATCCCATACAAGTACTTAGTTTTATTCAGTTTCTTAGAAAAGAAGACTTCATATCTTTATTTTACATCTCAAGTAAATATATCTTGATTTAAGGATGTTTACATATTTTTATTGGAAAACAAGATATTCTTTTTTTTTTTTTTTTTTGCAGGGCATAGAACAGTCCTTAATACAGGTTTAGCTGATTTCAGTTTCTGCCTGTAGGTCGGTATTAGATGAACTAAACAGTGATCAGAGAGCCCCAAAGCTGCTCGTGAGACAGAGTGGAAAGCATTCTTTATTGTGGTGTAACAGTGATCCAATATATTACTGTTCTGGTGGGGACATGTGATGTGCGGTCTGTATTTGGCAGTTCACGGGAGAGATTGGCTTTATTAAAGTCCCCGAGAATGATTAAAACAGAGTCCGGGTGTTGTTGTTCTGTCTCTGTGATCAGATCTGCAAGTTTCTGTAAAGCGGAGCTCACATGCGCTTGCGGAGGAATGTAAATACTGATGAGAATGAACGAGCACAACTCCCGCGGCGAATAGAACGGCTTACAGTTAATGAAGAGCACTTCCAGATCTGAACAGCACATCTTCTTTAACACAGTTACATCTGTACACCACCTCTCATTGATGTAAAAGCATGTCCCGCCGCCGCGCGATCTCTGGTGAAACTGATTGCAGGGATATAACTAAAGACAGGACAAACTAACAAAAACATAAAAACAACTGCTGAGCACGCCACGGAGGCAGCCATCAGCGTTGGCGCCATCTACTATACACATTACACAAAACTGAAATTGCACGTCAAAATAACACATTGTCAATATTTTTTGAGACCCCCCAAAATTTCACAAATCCCGTTTTCAGGGGAGCCCATGTCTTATTAAGGGGAGCCGAGCTCCCCCTAGCTCCCCCGTAGTTCGCACCCTGCTGACAGTATCAGGTGAGTTTGATCATCTCTTCATACACAAATTCTTTACATGTTATTAATGAGTGATTTCTCTATTTCAGACAGACCTCAGGCAGTTTTAAGTGTTTCTCCACAGAAGTGGTTGACTGAAGGAGATCCAGTGACTCTGATCTGTGAGGTTTACGGCTCCTCTACAGGCTGGACATTCAGCTGGTACAATCTAACTGCTTCATCAGGTAAGATGTGCTTCATGTGGTAGCAACTCATTTAACTGGTTTTATTAATTGGTTTTATGTGCATGTACTGGTGACCCTTTACTCCCATGAGCTTTGATCTGGCCCTTTTTCAGTTAATCTGAATACACTGAGTTACCCCAACAAACATAATTTATAAGTGTAAAATCATACAGCAAAAGCTCCTTAAGGTGAAATCTACATGAATTCTCATGTTTTGTAGACAACAGATATCATTTTCAGCGGCTCTCAGACAACAGTAGAGGAGCTGGAGGAAACTACACTGTCAGTTCTGCTGCTCTAAATCACACAGGAGTTTATGTGTGCAGAGCAGAGAGAGGCGAACCAGCCTATAAAACAACATTCAGCAACACACAGCCAGTATGGGTCACTGGTGAGTTCAAACAGGATCAGTTTGAATGAGACAGTACTGAAACAAGAATGTATGAGAGTGTGTTGTATGATACAATGAATGATGCATCTAGAGTCATATCAAGAGGAATCAGAGTTTTCTTGTTGTTTTGAGAGCTATGATGTACTATGAAATCACAAAGTTTCAGAATTCAAAAATTCCTCTCCAATTCGTAAAAGAGGAAATAGTCGTTAAAAACTGAAGCATGACTAGGTACGGAACACAAATGTTACTAATATTATCATTAATATTATTTGTATTAGTGAACCTGAAGGAAAACAATTAAATAGGCCTAACAAAAATGTTTAACCCATTTAAAAAGGGAGATTTCATGCTTAAATTATTTTAAAACATTTCCAAAGAGCTCTAATAGTCTTCTCAGGTGTTTCTCCTCGAGTCTCTCTGATCATCAGTCCCAGCAGAACTCAACACTTCCCATCTGTCTCTCTCTCTCTGAGCTGTGAGGACCAGAGAAACTCTGATAGATGGAATGTGAAAAGATACACAGACAGGTGGGGGCTGCAAGATTGTTCATCATCAGTGTGGGGATCACAAACAGGATCTACATGTACAATCAGCTCCACTATCACATCAGACACAGGAGTGTACTGGTGCCAGTCTGAATCTGGAGAGAACTATCATCCTGTTAATATCACTGTACACTGTGAGTCTGTGCTTCTGTATTTATTCACTTAACTGGCAGTTTATAATCAAAGCATAAAGCAGGTTGATTACATGTAAACAAGTGCAGGACGCATCAGTGGTCAAAAAACACTCAGTGGGCATGCAGCCAGTACAATTTTTTTTTTTTTAATTATTATTATCATCAAATATAATTTTATCATATTTTTCATATAGTCTTTCTCATGTTTCTTCTGTTTCTGTAGATGGTGTGGTTCTGGAGAGTCCTGTTCATCCTGTGACTGAAGGAGATACTCTGACTCTACGCTGTTTATATCAAAATTCAACCCCACCAAACCTCAGTCAGAGGTGAGACTGCAGACCAATAAACACAATTAAAATCAATTATTGTATAATTTACAGCACTCATCTAAATGTAAAATATATGTATCTCATCTTCAGCAGCCTCAGGATCTGATGGTTTCAATCCTGTGATAATCGGAGTGACTGCAGGACTGACCGTCACATTTTTGATCATTGTCGTCTTGGTCCTGCTGTGGCGCTACAGAAACAACAAAGGTCCATCATCTGCCATAGTAAAATTCAATGACACATTTGCTGACACTAACTCTGATCCTAAACCTTGTGAGCTGCCATCATGCATCAGTCTAAGCTAGTTATCTGGTCTTAGTTGGTCTGCCAACATGGTTAAGCTGGTATGTTGGCTAGTTGTCGCAGGTTTCTGGGTAGTTTTCATGTGGTCAGGCTGGGAACTTAGCAGGCCCAGCTCCAGCTTTGAGATGTAAAGTAGGCCAAGTGACATTCCTGGTGGGCTGGAGTTTTAACTTTTTTTAATAAGTAATAGTAGAGCAGGAAGAATAGGTTCCCATGCACCCGCTTGGCATTTTTTTGTAACCTGTTTTTTTGGGACCCTAATGGTGTCTAGTTAAGAATTTTTTATGTTGCAGAGGTCAACTAATGTCCCATGGGGTTCATTTGGTGGCCATCTTGAAATGATGTCATCACAAGTGGCGAAAAACACAGATTTTCATAACTCCTGAACCATACAACAGACAAAGACAAATTAACCCACTTTTTCATATCATTCTGACACCAGGAATCAAATGGAAAGGTCAATGATATGATACAACCACTCTTTACCGGTGAAAAACAGGCAAATAACACATTTTAGGCTCATAATGATGTAACTTTTGCTATTTTGTTCCGCAATAGTTTCCTGCATTTGCCAAATGACACTAGCTTTTCTCTTATATCAATTTCAGAATTATTAAATGGATGGCAATCACTCCAAGTGACATAGACGGCAAAGAAAGTGGCATGAACAGCAGCCCAATGCTGCTACTTAACTCCTCGTTTGCCATCGTAGCTACTCATTGCTTACATTTAACTGCTATTGACGCATTTCAAATATCAATCGTCACCAATCAGCAAGATACAGCAAGAAGATTTTACATCTGATATGTAAGTATTATCTCCCTTTTTTACAACTGGAAATGTCACTACATTAATAATATGGATATATATATAATATATAGTATCGTCAAATTAACTTACCTGATAGCTAGCTAGCTAACTTAGCTACTTAATAACAGTGGTGGAAGTATTATTCAGATCATCTACTCAAGTAAAAGCACTAATACCACACTGTAAAAGTAAAAGTATGTACTATCAGCAAAATGTACTTAAACTATGAAAAGTAAAAGTACTCATTGTGCAGTAAAATGGTCCCTGTCAGTGTTTTACCATTATACAGTATATGATGTTTTTGGATTAATATTAATGCTGCATTAATGTGTATGTTGCCTTTTGCTGCTGTAGATGTTTAAGGTTGAGCTAATTTTAACTACTTTATATACTGTTGGGTAGTTTATTCCACAGAAATGCATCATATTCAAGCGGCAACCTTCCAGTCTCTCTCGTGAAACCAACACGGAAGTGACTAAAACTGCAATTCATCGACTGGCCGCTAGAGTCTGGCTCCAAAAGGGAGTCAGTCCCATAGACTCCCCGGGCTCTATCATACACCCGGTGCAATGCGGCGCAAGGCGGGGCACTCACAAACAGGATCTACATGTACAATCAGCTCCACTATCACATCAGACACAGGAGTGTACTGGTGCCAGTCTGAATCTGGAGAGAACTATCATCCTGTTAATATCACTGTACACTGTGAGTCTGTGCTTCTGTATTTATTCACTTAACTGGCAGTTTATAATCAAAGCATAAAGCAGGTTGATTACATGTAAACAAGTGCAGGACGCATCAGTGGTCAAAAAACACTCAGTGGGCATGCAGCCAGTACAATTTTTTTTTTTTTAATTATTATTATCATCAAATATAATTTTATCATATTTTTCATATAGTCTTTCTCATGTTTCTTCTGTTTCTGTAGATGGTGTGGTTCTGGAGAGTCCTGTTCATCCTGTGACTGAAGGAGATACTCTGACTCTACGCTGTTTATATCAAAATTCAACCCCACCAAACCTCAGTCAGAGGTGAGACTGCAGACCAATAAACACAATTAAAATCAATTATTGTATAATTTACAGCACTCATCTAAATGTAAAATATATGTATCTCATCTTCAGCAGCCTCAGGATCTGATGGTTTCAATCCTGTGATAATCGGAGTGACTGCAGGACTGACCGTCACATTTTTGATCATTGTCGTCTTGGTCCTGCTGTGGCGCTACAGAAACAACAAAGGTCCATCATCTGCCATAGTAAAATTCAATGACACATTTGCTGACACTAACTCTGATCCTAAACCTTGTGAGCTGCCATCATGCATCAGTCTAAGCTAGTTATCTGGTCTTAGTTGGTCTGCCAACATGGTTAAGCTGGTATGTTGGCTAGTTGTCGCAGGTTTCTGGGTAGTTTTCATGTGGTCAGGCTGGGAACTTAGCAGGCCCAGCTCCAGCTTTGAGATGTAAAGTAGGCCAAGTGACATTCCTGGTGGGCTGGAGTTTTAACTTTTTTTAATAAGTAATAGTAGAGCAGGAAGAATAGGTTCCCATGCACCCGCTTGGCATTTTTTTGTAACCTGTTTTTTTGGGACCCTAATGGTGTCTAGTTAAGAATTTTTGATGTTGCAGAGGTCAACTAATGTCCCATGGGGTTCATTTGGTGGCCATCTTGAAATGATGTCATCACAAGTGGCGAAAAACACAGATTTTCATAACTCCTGAACCATACAACAGACAAAGACAAATTAACCCACTTTTTCATATCATTCTGACACCAGGAATCAAATGGAAAGGTCAATGATATGATACAACCACTCTTTACCGGTGAAAAACAGGCAAATAACACATTTTAGGCTCATAATGATGTAACTTTTGCTATTTTGTTCCGCAATAGTTTCCTGCATTTGCCAAATGACACTAGCTTTTCTCTTATATCAATTTCAGAATTATTAAATGGATGGCAATCACTCCAAGTGACATAGACGGCAAAGAAAGTGGCATGAACAGCAGCCCAATGCTGCTACTTAACTCCTCGTTTGCCATCGTAGCTACTCATTGCTTACATTTAACTGCTATTGACGCATTTCAAATATCAATCGTCACCAATCAGCAAGATACAGCAAGAAGATTTTACATCTGATATGTAAGTATTATCTCCCTTTTTTACAACTGGAAATGTCACTACATTAATAATATGGATATATATATAATATATAGTATCGTCAAATTAACTTACCTGATAGCTAGCTAGCTAACTTAGCTACTTAATAACAGTGGTGGAAGTATTATTCAGATCATCTACTCAAGTAAAAGCACTAATACCACACTGTAAAAGTAAAAGTATGTACTATCAGCAAAATGTACTTAAACTATGAAAAGTAAAAGTACTCATTGTGCAGTAAAATGGTCCCTGTCAGTGTTTTACCATTATACAGTATATGATGTTTTTGGATTAATATTAATGCTGCATTAATGTGTATGTTGCCTTTTGCTGCTGTAGATGTTTAAGGTTGAGCTAATTTTAACTACTTTATATACTGTTGGGTAGTTTATTCCACAGAAATGCATCATATTCAAGCGGCAACCTTCCAGTCTCTCTCGTGAAACCAACACGGAAGTGACTAAAACTGCAATTCATCGACTGGCCGCTAGAGTCTGGCTCCAAAAGGGAGTCAGTCCCATAGACTCCCCGGGCTCTATCATACACCCGGTGCAATGCGGCGCAAGGCGGGGCACAAGTGTTTTTGCTAGTTTCAGCCTGACGCAGTTCTCATTTTCCCATCCTGCGCCACATTGTTTAAATAGCAAATGCATTTGCACCCATTTGTGCGCCCATGGGCGTGCTGGTCTGAAAATGAGGTGTGTTCAGGCGCATTGCTGGCGCATTGCTATTTTGAGGAACTGAAAATAGACTGTGCCATTGACCAAATAAAAACCTGGTCTAAAGTCAATGGTGCAGTCGTTTTTTTGTTATTTAAAGAGCACGTTAGTATAGACGGGTCCACAGTGCGCGTACACTCTGCTTATTACACACACATGGACGCACAGCAGCACACAAACATGACAAATATAAAAAATTAAAGGATTGCAATGTAAAAGATTACTATTGTGTATGCTACATAAATATAAAAATGCCTACAAGTCATAATGGATAGTCATTGCGCCGTCGAGCTAGGTGGGCGGGGTTGCAGCACCCAGCCCCCGCCTCTTTGCCCATTTTCGATTATCCGGGAGTGACACGCGGTGACGCACTGCCAAGATGGCGACGGCCCGCTCCGCCCACTTTGAGCTTCAAAAACGCTCTTCAGAAACCTACTGATGACGTCACGGACACTACGTCCATGTTTTTATACAGTCTGTGATCATATTCTATAAGGTCATTTGTTTGTAGTGTCACTGTGAGAACCACGTATCTCTAAAATGTCAACTTTTCATGAGCTCAGCAAAACAGCCCTGTTTTGAGCTTTGTGGCAATTCATTTTCAAGCTAATCCAAGAAGGTTTTAAGTAGTTTATTTAGCTTCAGAAGTAGGAGAATTTTCTCAACCCATAAAGGAACACTACAGCTTTCAGTTTATCTGAAACTTTAATTCACCAAATGTGGAGATACATGGTTTTCACTGGACATGTGGGATATGAAAAATTGTAATCTGAAAACTGTAGTAGAGTAAAAAGTAACATATTTGCCTCTGAGATGTAGTGCAATAGAAGTATGAAGTTGCATAAAATGGAAATACTGAAGTACAAGTACCTTGAATTTGTACTTAAGTACAGTACTTGAGTAAATGTACTTAGTTACATTTCACCACTGGTTAGTAAGTAGGCTACCAGAAATTACAGTTCCATGAAACTAATTTCATGTTAATATTTATCTTTCCTCTGTAATGGTAAAATATATAAAAACAACAAACCACGAGGAAAAGGGGAAAGAGGAAAGTGATCAGACAGAGATGTCTGAACCCCCTCTCAAAAGCCCTTCTCCCACTTGTGTAT